CACCTGCACCACTGCCTAGATGACCTGCTCCTACTGTCCCAGGATAGAGTACAGCTACTACAGCAAAGAGCCCATGTCATCTCGACCCTTCTTGAGTTTGGGTGGTTGCTGAATTTGGAGAAAAGCCAGTTGGAGCCCAGGCAGTCTCTAATATTCACAACAATAAAGCAAAAACAGGCCACCAAAAATGACACAAATTACCGGTGTCATTAGCATATCTCCGACTCACTTGTATACAGTAAGTGTGGATACAAAAACCCAAAAACTACATACTAAACAATATGGTAGTGTGACAAGAACACCCCTACCTAAAAAAGCAGGTTACTAGATGATCCACGCGGAGTAATATGAATTCAAAAGAATTTTTAAACAATACTTTATTTGATCACATAGATCATAGGGAGGTTAAACATAAGCATGGTGTACATATGAAAAAAAAAAATAATAAAATCATGTTAAAAAACACTTAGCGTCTTCAATTTAGGGTCATCTTAGCAAATAGAGCACCATATAAGGCAGAGTTGTGTAATGATGCGATAGTTATCCTGGATTTCCGTGGGTTTCCCACTTAAATTCGAGTAAACCATGTGTTCAACAGATGTGTTCCCCATATATGTCAGGGACCTCCTGGAATGTAAGAGCTGGAACACAAAAATACATAATGTATGTATAGGAATATGAAAACCAATTCACATCCAAAAATCACCAGGCCTCCCTCCACATTAGTCAATGGATACTACTATTACCTTCTCAATAATGAGACTATCATGCCCGCTTCTCAAATGTAGGGACTTCCTGGATAGCCACCCCAAGTAAAACAAGGTCCACAGTACCAAATGATTCTGAGGATATATATAGAGAAAAATGATAAATATATAGATCATAGGCATCAAGTGACCCCGAAAACAAAACACACACAAAATGTGGATATATTACCATCAATAAAGATCAAGAAGACTCCTGTCAACTTGAAATAGGATCAGGTCCTTGATGCTTTTTCAAAAATGCATATGGGGGTGAGGAGCCAGGTAGTCACAGTGCGTGGATTCCATTCTATGCTTTTTAGAGTATAGACATGAATCTATCCAACTCTATAAGAGGTTCAGAGAGAGGGGCTATTCACATAGAACCCTAAGAAGAGCAAAAAGAAGAGCCCTCAGTAAAACAAGAGAGGAACTTATTAATAAACCAAAATCAAAGGTAACTGCGAACACTGCAAATCAACCGGTAAGATTTATAACTAAATTTGGACAACAATGGGGTGAAGTCAAGAGGGCCCTGGACTCTCATTGGCATCTACTAACTCAAAATCCGCAGATAGCGAGATTGGTAGGTGAGAGCCCCCACATGGTAGCAAAATGAACTCGGAATCTAAATGATATACTAGTACAATCAGAATTTCAGAGGGCACCACAAAGAAACTGGCTAACTAGGAGGACTGGCGTATATGGTATGTTTCCATGTGGCCACTGTCAGATTTGTCCATTTGTACATAAGTCCAATCAGTTCTTCAATAATGATAACTCTAGGATATTTCAAATACGAAGCTTCATTAACTGCTCTAGTAGTAAATTGATATACATGATAGAATGTCCATGCAAAAAGATATATATAGGTAAAACAAAAAGAAGCCTCAGGACTAGGATTGGCGAACATCTGAGAGATATTAGAAATGAAAATAGGAATGCAAGAAAGGGAGAAAAGGAGAACCCACTGGCACAACACTTTAAAGAAGTACATGGAGGCAAAACAGATGGTCTAAAAGTGAAAGGGATCTTCCTGCTGAATATTTAGGCTCGTCGGGGTGACTTTGACAAAGTCCTCCTACAAAAAGAAAAATTTTGGATTTATACCCTGGGGGGGCACTTGTCCCATTTGGACTAAATACAGAACTCAACTTTGGGGTGTAGTGATATTCTTTCAACACAAGATGGCGAGGTGGAGACTATTTGGTATGCAATTAGTGCACCATATAAGGCGAAGGATTGAAGTCCCCTCCCAGTTCTGATGAAGTCTGCGGTGAGTGGCGGACGAAACGCGTCAACGTATTGACGTCACTACGCTCGGCGTCGGCGTTCACTGGGTGCGGCGGCCACGAGGCGGGAAGGAACGGCGGTATCACAGCTCCCTGCTAGGAAGGCCCAAGACCCTCTGAGAACTACCACTGGGCTACTACTACAGCGGTTCGCAAAACGGCAATCCCTCAGGGAAACATACCTTCCACCGGTGGCAAGTTATTTAAAGCTTACGGCTGTTGAGATTTATAGAGCCTATATGGTGGCAATAGGGCATATTTTATGGGCCTAATTTACCCTGTATACTCGGGGAATTTTTTGGAAACCCTCTTTGGAGGATAATCTACATGTATATATATATATATATATACGCTATCCTATTCAGGCATTTTTTGCTGTGACATAGCCACATCCTTATAAAACCGCAATAACCTTCTCTAATTGAGCAATTTTTGGAAACCCTGTATTGGGTATATTAAACTCAGGTATCTACGGCCTGCTATATGCTACATACACATTATATATGTGTTTGGAATCCACGCACTGTGACTACCTGGCTCCTCACCCCCATATGCATTTTTGAAAAAGCATCAAGGACCTGATCCTATTTCAAGTTGACAGGAGTCTTCTTGATCTTTATTGATGGTAATATATCCACATTTTGTGTGTGTTTTGTTTTCGGGGTCACTTGATACCTATGATCTATATATTTATCATTTTTCTCTATATATATCCTCAGAATCATTTGGTACTGTGGACCTTGTTTTACTTGGGGTGGCTATCCAGGAAGTCCCTACATTTGAGAAGCGGGGCATGATAGTCTCATTATTGAGAAGGTAATAGTAGTATCCATTGACTAATGTGGAGGGAGGCCTGGTGATTTTTGGATGTGAATTGGTTTTCATATTCCTATACATACATTATGTATTTTTGTGTTCCAGCTCTTACATTCCAGGAGGTCCCTGACATATATGGGGAACGCATCTGTTGAACACATGGTTTACTCGAATTTAAGTGGGAAACCCACGGAAATCCAGGATAACTATCGCATCATTACACAACTCTGCCTTATATGGTGCTCTATTTGCTAAGATGACCCTAAATTGAAGACGCTAAGTGTTTTTTAACATGATTTTATTATTTTTTTTCATATGTACACCGTGCTTATGTTTAACCTCCTTATGATCTATGTGATCAAATAAAGTATTGTTTAAAAATTCTTTTGAATTCATATTACTCCGCGTGGATCATCTAGTAACCTGCTTTTTTAGGTAGGGGTGTTCTTGTCACACTACCATATTGTTTAGTCTCTAATATTCCTATACACGATCGGCGCCACCATCTCCCTGCCCGTGGAGAATATTCCAGTGATCCAGAGCCGAATTCTACCTGCCTTGTCTTCCTCGCATCTTCAGGCCCTCCAATGCCTAAAGATCATTGGCACCATGGTGTCCACAGCGCTGATGGTGAATTGGGCACAGTAGAGAATGCGACCCTTCCAAAAGGGCTTTCTTTAGCAGTGGATTCCAGGCAGCATAGGCCAGGTCATTGACATTTCTCCCTCCATGAAGGAAAGCCTTCCTTGGTGGCTGAAGCGGAAGAGCCTGCTCGATTGCCATTTGATTGCCCCCATCTCGTTGGTCACAATCACTACCGATACCAGCAACTCCCGATGGGGTGCTCTCTGCCAGCCAGAGATAGCTCAGGGCAGAGGGAGCTTTCCCTCCCACAGGTTGGGGTCAAACTTCCTGAAATTACAAGCGGCGCTCTGTGCCCTGAAAACCTTCCAGCACCTAACACTGGGGAAATCAGTCCTCCTGAGGTCCGACACTATGACAGCAGTGTCCTACATAAGGAGACAAGAAGGGACCCACAGCTTGTCCCTCTTGCGAGAGGTAGAGCCAATCATGGCTTCAGCCCAGAGAAACCTGTCCAACATATCGGCAGTATATATCCCCCGGAGTCGAGAAATTGCAGACTTCGTTTCCAGGGTTCAATTGGACAACAACAAGTGGTCTCAACACAGAAGTTTTCAAGTGGATACTGACCCTTGGGATCATCCTGGAAGTTGACCTGTTCGCTTTCCCGTGCAACAGCAAACTGGGGGTGTTCTACACCAGGAATTGCTGTCCCTGGGCCTTTGGGATAGTTGCTCTGATGGATTAGTGGGGGTTTCGCGCAGCCTATGCATTTCCTTCAGTCCCTGTCATTTTGAGGTTGGAGGCCTTAGGCTGTCCAGCTGAAGTCATCCCTACCCTGAATAATGCCAGAAAACCAAGTACCAACAGAGTCTATGGAAGAGTCTGGTCTAAGTTCGTAGACTATATCTCGACCGTGGATGGATCCTTTAGTAATCCAAGGGTTCAGGATGTCCTGGGATTCCTGCAGTCAGGCCTGGATCTTCCCCTGTCAGTCAGCACCCTCAGGGTTCAAGTGTCAACCAAGTATCACGGGCCAACCACTCTCTGGCTCGGCAATTCTTCAAAGGGGCAGTAAGGTTGAGGCCCCAAAGGAAACTGAAGTTCCCAAAATGAGACCTGCCGCTTGTCCTCAACTTCTGCTATGTAGGCGTGCCAGAATCAGCTGGGCCTCCCATAGTGAGGGAGCTCTCCATCAAGGCACCCTTTTTGGTGGCAGTTACTGTCAGGGCAGGAACGCTGGAACGGGCAGGCAGGCCTATGGTACGGTCACGCTGCGACTGACGATAGCCACTACCCACAGACCGGAGTCCTTCAGGGCGCGGAGTCTAAGCCCCAGGCTACCCTTCACCAGGGCCCCTGATGGTGGGGATGGACTTGACGCAGCCTGAGACCAGGTCGCGGCCCCCGAGTGACCCCAGCTGCGATAACGACTGCCGCCAGTGGCGTACAGCTGGTGGGAGCTAGATGGGAACACGAGTAGAGTAGTCAGACAAGCCGGGTCAATAACAACGGAGAAGACAGTACTAGACGGTAGGCAAAGAATACTCAGGTCACAGGCCGGGTTCAGCAACGGGAGGTCAGGTAAAGGGTTTAACACAGAGAATAGTCTTGTCAAAGCCGGGTCGGTTACCAGGAGAGCAATGGGAACAACACAAGAGCTTGCAACAGGGCAACATACAGGACACAAGTGCAGAGCACACTTGCAGACAGCAGGTTTAATTGTGCTCAACCACACCCTTCTGAGGAGGAGCCGCAGAAGCCTGAAGGCATAAAGGTTCCCACCATGCTTTGCAGAAAACCAAGATGGATGCCAGCTCATGGAGATGCACAAGCTCTGAAGAAAGGTAGGACCTTGACAGTTACATCTGTAAAAAAAGTTTCCGAAATTGGAACCTTGGCTGTAAAGAGCCATTTTTGACATTCTTCCCAGATCAAGTGGTCCTCATCCCTATGCTAGGTTCTAATCCTAAAGTGACCTCGGTCTTCCATGAGAACCAAAAGATTGTCTTGCCAACATTTAGAGCCTCGGGAGTTGATTAAATTTGACAATTTCTTCTAGGGTATGCAAACTTTGAGCACAACTGTTGGTGTTTGGTAGGATGGAGGGCAGCCAGAACAGGTAGTGAGACATCTTTACCTGAGTAGGGTATGCAATAAGGTAAAAAATGTTCTGACTTTAGAACCACTTTAACTATATTATGTCTATTCCGAAGGTAAAAAATAAGCTATTCTAGGTTGCGATAAAATAATTAATGAGTTAAAATAAAGATTTAAAAGAAATAAAGGCTCTCCATGGATTGTATAACTTTTTTTTTTTTTAAAGTTATTCCATAGTTCCGCATTAATTTAGAATGAATGATTTGATGTAAAAATTATCATGAGATAAAATATCAAAAGCAGTTAAAAGAAGTCATGCAGCTTAGTGAATTGACCTTCTTATTCTTTAGACATAACATGTGGCTTTGGTATGTCTGCTACATTTTTAATCTCAGTATTCTGTTTCCACAAAGATAACGTTGTTTTGTTGTAGTGCAGTGTATCTCCTGAATGGTTGTGACTAAACATATGGCTGTATGCTGTGGTTGAGATTGCAGAAGTCACATTTCCTGTGATTCAGTTTATGCGGTTCAGAAAATGCTTTGCCTAACAATTGCTGCCAAAGTAGTACAGAATAATATATATATTTATCACTATGTAGAAAAAAAGTACTCCCTAAATAGTAAGGCGAAGTGTGCCGGAAAGGCTTGTTTGCCTAGTTCAAATGTTTAGCAAACTCATAATCACTGTCAGTTTTTGTACAGTCAACCAGCAAAACAAAAGAAAACAATGTTTAGTTGACTGAATTCATAGATTTTTATACAGCATGTCTTTCAATCTTGTATAGCAAGGTCAGTGGTATTGATTTACTAAAGGAGTAGAGAATGTTCATTACCAAAGTAAATGTTTATTTACCGTTGTAAAAAAAATGTGAATCTATGTGCAAAAACCTGTTGTTTTTTTTTGTAATCCCCCTGCGCTTAAGTGGGTAGGGGTATTTAAAGTGAACATAACTATGTGAACAATTTCTTCCTTGTAAATCCCAAAGTGTAACAGCTATATCATATATCATGTATAAAAGACCATTGACCGTGTATAGTATGTAATGATGGGCCGAACACCCCCCTGTTTGGTTCGCAGTCGAACATTCGAACCTACAGAATGTTCGACCAAGAACTTCAAACACAAGCAATTTACTGAGCGGTATCTTACCGCATGGGTTATATTATTAATTCAGTAGTGAAACATTCATTAATGTTTCAGCTGTCAGTGAGGTTCCCCGCTGACAGCTGAATGTAAAAAGAATTATCAGCATTGCCTGACAATTAAAATGTTTTTTTTTAAACTGCGTGGGGTCCCCCCTCCCATCCATACCAAGCCCTTCGGGTCTGGTATGGATTTTGAGGGGAACCTCCATGCAAAACGTTTTTTTTTAAAAAGGGCGTGGGGGTCCCCCCCAAAATCCATACCAGACCCTTATCCGAGCATGCAGCCCAACAGGTCAGGAAAGGGGGGGAGACGAGCGAGCACCCCCCCTCCTGAACCATACCAGGCTACATGCCCTCAGCATGGGGGGTGCTTTGGGGCAGGTAGGCCCCCCCAAAGCACCTTGTCCCCACAACCATAGCCAGTCATTGTGGGGGTCTGCAGATGGGGGGCTTATCAAAATCTGGAAGCCCTCTTTATTAAGGGGATCCCCAGATCCCGGCTCCCCCTCCATGTGAATGAGTATGCAGTACATGGTACCACTACCCATTCACAAAAAATAAGTGTAGTGTAAAAAAAAAGGAGACAGGAAATCTTTATTTTTTATTTAATAAATGACAAGTCGTTTATTAAAAATAAAAGTGAAAAAATGTCCCCCAAAGTAGATCCAACGTCAATCATGATGCCTGCTGCCACCGCTGACCCGAAAAAAGAAAAGAAAAAACCTACTCCTCTCATGACGCTGGCTCCTAGCTGTCTGACAGCTGCACCCCGATGACAGTTCATAAATACTGTCATGTCATCACAAGGGGCGGGGTTCACCCCGCCACCTTGTGACCTCATCCTGTGCTGTGATTGGCCAAAGCATTGCACCTGACCTGCTTTGACCAATCACAATGCACTCAGTCAGGGTGCAGTGGAAGGGATTGTCCCGAGAAGCAGTATTACAGTGAAGAGGGTCCTCAATTTAATGCTCAATGTGTATGGAGTATCCCGCATCTCCCTATGCCTTATCCAAGTTAACCAGCAATACATGTTTTTTAAAAACCTGGGACAAATCAGCACCCCTTATGGGGGTGAGCGATACACAGGAGTACTTTTGGGAGTACTTTGGGAGCAGGGCAGCACAATGACATTCCCACAGGCGGTAGACACATGATGCCCTGGGCTAATAATAATGAAACAATGCTTTTAGGTACTGGGAGGGTGTATATACATTCTGAGAGCAATACAAAGGCTGCCATTATTTTTGTCAAAAAAAAAAATTAATGAACTTACTATGAAGAATGCTGCACTTTTTTGGCAGCCGCATGCATCCCCCCTGAATCTGGGGCCCTGGGGCAGCCACCGGTTCTGCTCCTATTATAATCTGCAGCTGCTTCAAGGTGGTGATATGGCTGTCTCTCCTTTTTTTTTTTTTTTTTTACCCTCTCTTAAAGTATAAATAAATTGAATCACTAAAATATCATATAAGCTTTAACACGATCATGTATTTTCAATATTTTTACATTTTCAGTTTTCCTATGATATAACAAATATCTGGCGGTCATTCCAAAAAGGTACAGCAGGAGATCAGCAGCACTGAACTACAACAAAAGAAAAGAGATAAAAAAACGTAATAACGATAATAAAAAGTATTTTTTAAAAAAAAAACATGACAATCATTTTATATATATTTTCACAAACTAAATCTTATCCAGTTAGGATTGATATCTACTTTAATGCTCAGCATCTACTATTAGCTAAGGAATGCTGGGTGACTCGGGCTTTGGGTTTTGAGGGTTACATGTTTCCTTGTGTTGTAATATATTGTCATTTCTTACTAAGTACGTGGCTTTACTTGGACCTCAACTGCTGCATGACTAGACAGCAACTGATGTGAACAGCTCTAAAGTCTTCTCTTCTGTTTTTTTTTATAATCTTTATTTAAACATTTTTCATACAGTACAGAATTAAAAAAAGAAAAGACCAGAAAACTTCAAGTGTTACAAGGTAATAGTTGGTAGGTGTCACACATAACACAGAGGGTAGAAGGAGTGTGAAACTGGCATAACACCATGCTCCAAATGAAACAATTGTATACTTGAAGATCACACTGAATAATTGTGGTAAAAAAAAACACATTCTCCACTTAAAAGCAAACTAGGTACAACAAATATAAGCCTCGCTTTGTTTCAGAGGAAGGTACACCAAGCTTCTTTATGTTGTCAAGACATATAAGGGGTATACCCTTACTAAACAGCCATAAAACTCCACAATGGGAGGACTCCAGAGGGAGCCAATCTCACAATCACAATTCCTGTGCGCTAGAGATCCTGTAACCCAGTTGCGTATTGCAGTGGTAAGATAACCAAAACAAACAAAAAGAAAGCAAACAATGGAAATATAATGCAAATCTGAATCCTTTGTGTGAAAAACCTACATTGATAAAGTCATCTCTATCAAGTACAGAGGTCTCTAACTGTAAAGTATACCTTAAAGTCTATCAGTCATACTTACTAAGGTCAATGTTCTGTGGAGGTGGCAAGGGTACATGTATGCAAGAAGCATGAGTTCCCGAGGAACTGGAGCTGTACTCAATCCATGTGGCCCAGATAGAGTAAAACCATTTATATTTACAGTATCTTTGCATTTGGCCATCCGTTCCCCTGTATCCAATATATTTGTCCCCAACTGAACCCAGTTCAAATGACTAGGAACATGAGATTTTCTCAAGTAGATTGAGATCAAATGCCTTGTGGTGTTGAGGAGGTGACTAAAGTCTTCTTTTAAAGTAGAAGGAAACGTTAAACAGTAAACCAACGTTTAAATGTTCCCTCCTGTTTTCTCCCCATGGCCCTGCATGTTTTATACCAAAATATATTGTAAATACCATTTTTTAACTTGTTTCTAGGTAGTCATTTGAATGCAAACTCCAACGTGGTGTACATTTGGAGGGCCAACAAGGGGGCTGAATCACTTACAACAGTGATGTCTCTCACCTGTATCCACTGCTCTAGGCGTTGTTGACAAGGTAGAGAGCTCATGCCCACCAGTGCCAAAAAAGAAGATACGCACACAAAAGCTTTAAAAAAGAAGATATTTACATTATAATTTGTTATTAACCACTTGCCCTCCAGAGGATTTATCACCCCCCCTCCTGACCAGGCCATTTATTGTGTTACAGTGCTGCATTAAACTTTAACTGACAATTGTTGCACAATCATGCAACTCTGCACCCAGATTAAATTTACATGGTATTTGATCGCCTGTGTGTTTTTTATTTTTTACACTATAAGCAAAAAAAGACTGACAATTTTGAGAAAAAAAAAACAATATTTTGGACTTTTTGCTATTAAACATGCCCAGTAAAAAATTAAAAAAAATCGAATTTTGTCATAAATTTAGGCCAAAATGTCAAAATGTATTCTGCTACGTCTTTTGTTATGTTTCACATGACTATCATATTGACTGTCATATGCCTTTAAGTGTTTTCTATATTTTGTCTCTGCTCCACCTTTTCCTTTGGTTTAGTTAATGCTGTATAGATAGCCTACCCCTTTTCCCAGAAATACATTGCAGCTCTAGCCTCATGTCATGAAGCAGGACACATTATTATCTTTTGACCTATCAGATGTTCATTGTTGTAAGATTATCTCAGTCTATGGAATAAACTTCACAAGATCTACAAGATATCATCTTGATTGAGTTACTGACTGTGGTA